TCAGAATAAACGTTTATTCTGATGATGACGAGTGAACATCGTCGAAATATCAATAATAAATCAGAATGATAGCACTGTGATTTGTATGAATCATGTTTGTAGCAGTTTTGTATTTCTTACTACGTTTATAAACTACAAGCATTCCTCACATGCGTACCTTCTGTATGTAATCTACTAACTAAACGTTTTAAATTTTCGCCATTATTATCATTCTCGTCAATTAACTGATGTTGTTGGGTGAGAAGTAAACTGTTGATGGTCTTTTGTTCATCATTTTCGTATTGTTTAGCTATTCGTAGTTGTTCACGAATTTGTTCACCAAAGCTATTATCATTTATCATTGTACTATTTAAACTTAAATTGTGTTGTTGTTGTAGTTGTAGTTGTTCATATTGTTGACGTAAGTCGTTGACACGATAATCGTAGTCATGTTTGAGTTGAGACCTAATATCTATAATGAGACACATATGACTTTGGACGTATATGATGGTACTTATATACAAACCTGTAATTTTATCTCTTAGCTCATGCTCATACTGTTGACGAATGCGTTCAACTTCTAATTGATGTTCAATATGTAATTGTTCATATTTTTCTTTCCAATCAATGATTACTGCTGTTGATGATGAATTTGTTCGTGACATTTCGATGTCTGGCGGTGGTGGTGAAGTTGTTTGCCCGACGGAGGAAATATCAATTGTTAAGGTCATCTGATTATTTGTTGCCGGTATAATTTATGGCTTAGAGCAAAGAGATCATTTTTCTGAAATATCGAATGATAGAAAGTCAGTGATGAACAATTTGATAAATAGACTATTTCTATCTGATACTATCAGATAATGATTAACATTTAAATTGAATGACATTGCATCTAAAGTCAGAATGATTACGTACGAGACTTTTTGGAAGAAGAGACTATGGATGAATACGACAAAGGTTTTATTGTCACTGTCCCGGTCAAGATAAGCCAAAATGAAAACAACGCCGACACCTTCTACGTATGATCATTTGACAGTGTTAGCGTTATTTTCATTCTTAGCTGATTTTGAACCCTAGTCTCTCTTATTGTCTCATGAATTCTCAAAAAATCCATCCTTGTTTTTTGTTCACTCCGTTGTAAGGATTTTCGGCAAAGAATTACGATGAAATTACCGATACTTTTGGACGATACTGACATCTAGCGTGTTACTAAATCTATTTACTCAATCTTATCATCAGACTGATCGATAAAACAGAAAGACATATGTGAGCAGAAATATAAAAAAATAATAAAAAAGATTATTGTCATCTTTTTGTAAAACCTAAACCACAACAAAGCGATATTTGATGAGAGACTGAATATACATGTTCTTATCTTCAACAAACAATTTAACCGTTTTTCTAGTCTCTAGACAGCTCATGTCTAGGTAAAACCTATCCAATTCATCAGATGATAAATAAGAAGTTGCTGAAATTGGTTTAGACATCTTTGATGTCAAGATCGTTTTTCCCAACGTTCTCAAGAAAATGTCGGAATCGTACATTGCATACAGCGTTTATTTTAGGATTTCTTATCGTATTTATGGCGTGTCAATTAGAAAGGATTTAAGCTTTTCTGAAAGTGTGCAGTATTATCTTATACTAATAAAAAAACAAAGTAAATTATTACCTACTTTTATACGACTTGAAACCGCTTAATAACTATTATATTTTCTCTCACTGTCTTTTTACATCTGCGTGCATATACTACCAATACGTACCTCAATTTTTTTAATTCAGACATTTTATATTTCGTTTCTTCTTTTTTCTTCTTTTTTTTTCTCTTCTGTGTGTTGCTGAAGATTGTAAATTTTCTTACTTAACAACAACACAACGGATTGATGGAATGGAATGAGAAAATACACGTTTATACCGGGATATGTCAGAATAGTAAAAAAAAATTTTAGATTGTTCACTTTGTAAGAACGATGGCAAGTAATATGAGATATAACCGTGTATTACCACTAATACAGAACGACAACGAAGAAGAAAAACTCTACAAAAAAAAAAACTTTCTACGATTATATCTTGTTTCATAATAAAATACTTGAACCTCATTGAAACACACTCAATTAACATAATGTCATCTACCTATTCATTCGATTTGACAAGACGTTTAACAACAAATCCTACTCTTCAATCATCAAGAAGAATATCACGATTATTTCATGATACATCTGTTGATCAACAACAACTGCCACAACAATTATTAACTGTACCGTGGCGTCGTCAACAAAGTTATCAACAACATGACATAGTCTATAATAATCATTTAACAACACCAAAAGTAAAACAGGAGCCAACCTATTCTCTTACACCAGAGAAAAATAAAAAATTTGATATTTTTCGTGTGCGAAAACTAATCAATAATGAATTGAATTTTGTTCCACACACAATTAAATATGATTCAAAAATCTATTTAGAATTAATTAAAGATTTAACCGTACAATTAAAAAAATCTATTCGAGATGTAACCTATTCAAGATATAAAATAGTAGTGATAATTACAGGTGGACAAAATAATTCAAATCAAACTCTTATTTATGCATCACGATGTCTTTGGGATAAAACAACGGATGGATCATTAACAGTGAACTACAAAGTGGGAGATATCTATTTGTTGATAACAGTTTATTTTGTTTACACAGAATAAACTGAGTATCATTTATATCATATATACAATATAATTTACTTGCGATTCGATGTTTCTAAGAGAACGATTGTCATTTTTTATATGCAGAAAATTTGTATACGTTTATTCTAGGATATGGTTTTTCGTCGTCTTGGATAGCAAGAACAAACTACATAAAACAAACATTGTATGTATACATATGTCAAACATTTGATGTAAAGATTAAGAATACAAGTCTATTTATCATTTTGTTAATTGAAACGTAATCAATATTTTTTTAGTAAAGAATCATAATGCACACTTTGTTAAATACGATATTCATAATTTGTCAAGTGTATCAAGAAAGAGAAATGCTGTGTTCATATTTTATCTTATGATATAAGACACTTATAACTTATAAAATCGACTCTCATTCTCATTCATTTTAAAAGGAATGATTTTTGTTGTGTAAATACAATGAAGGATTGAACTATTAAACACTTAAATTGTTCATAATAGGGCATCATACTTTTACCTCTGATATTTATACATATCCAAATGGAGGTATCATATCGATTCGTTTACATTTTTTTAGTTTCTTAACTGATCAAGACACATTCACATAGATTCAGTAAAATGTATTAATACAAATATAATTTTGACTATTCATTATAAGTAACAAAAAGGATCGATTAGTTTTTTTAAAAATGATATAAGAAGAATTTTCTTAGAATAAAATGTTTTAATTTAACTGTATGAACGTTTTGCGAAAATAAAATTTATTCACTCACGAAAAATGAAGAAATGTTTGTTTTTTAGATGAAAAAATATAGATAACGTGGTAGCAATCGAATGAAAACAATTTGGTTTTCTTTGATACGGTTTGATAGTGATCATTAAAATACAGCGAAAAATGTTTTTATTATGTTTTTATCTTCCAAAACTGGTATCTGGTAAAGGAAACTGGTAGATGGTAAAGGTTTTTTTTTAAAATAAATGGATGCAAATGTAAACACGCAAATACATTATGTAACTCACCATGTCATCATTCACTCACTTGTGATAATAAATAATTAGGGGGTTACAAAGCTGTGCTCATATTTCTTCAACTAACTTGTGCTTTTTTGATTTTCTCGTCGGCAAATCTACGTCTGTTGTTCAGTAAAAAACTGACTTTAAGGATCAATTTCGATGTATCACTCAAATAATCAATCAATTACCGTTTAGCTAAACCAAAACAACTTCGATAAACATGATAAATTCCATAGGACATATAAGAACTTACTCGAAAATGCGTCAAATGATTTAATTTTACAAATGAAATTGAACTATGATCAGGCGGATTTACTTACTTAAATTTAACTTAAAGTTTTTTCTGACTTCTATCTTCTCTTTAAAAAAAAACAATCAGATGTGCTAGAAAAACCAAACTCATTTCAAAAAATCATGTGCGATTCGATGCTGATATATCATTAGGAGAAGAATTATGTTTTTTATTTCTTCCCTTGTTTCTGTACACTCGTTGACAAGACCATTTCATGTGTTATGACACGACGATTTAGTTAGAGACTGTAAAGACAGAGAAGGTGCTCTCTGAACACCAATAATCTGTCAATGCGTGTTATTTATAGCTCACATGAACGTATTTTTAAACTCCTAGGTCCAGAATCAACAATAGTGGAAAGCTATGATTGAAGTGAAGAATGTTATAATCTTGAAGAAGACAATGATCTAAGTTAAAATTTGGATGTTGTGTTATTATGCTATACTGAATGATATATCATAGGTGCAAAATCAGGACGCTTTAATTTTTTTGTATGTGTCTTAGCTTGCTACACATCAGATGGAATCTGCTGTTTTTTTTATATGCATATCTAATGACTGATTGGTTAAATTAATTGCTATTGTCATGTAACTATAATCTGAGGTCATGGGCAATGATGTTGTAACAATCTTTGACTTGTATTTTTGGTGATGGTTTCTGTCAACATGTAATCTTTTCTGTTTTCATTATTATTACTAAAGTTATCATTGCTGCTTATTTTTGTCGCTAAATTTAGGATATTTTAGGAGAATTGGCAACTATTGCAGCTGAAAGACTATCGAATAGTCTATGGGTAGTTGAATATCAGGTTGGATTGGCGCGCAATAATTTGTGACCGCTTCCGAAACCTGGTAGAATGGTGGTGCAGTAAATGAAGACATCAGCTAAGCGTACAAAGTTAAATTTGATTGTATTTATGACTTTGATCTCGGAATGTAGATGGAAAGTCACTGTGATCTTTTGTACTCGTACATAGTCTCTAGCTTTCTACCTGTTCCGTTCTGAATACAGAAAGATATTTCATTTTGTTTTGGATTATAGATGAGAAAGAAGAGAAGAAAACGGTTGAAGATATTTTTCGTCACTATATGAAACATACTATCTACATCATCTTTCATTCAAAGAAGAAGTTCAGGTCGTCTGAGAAACTGTTTCTTCGGTAGATTTTCCGGCTTTCTAGGATTGGTTTCAAGATTTAATCCTAAATAGCTTTGATAGAAATCTGCAACCGTTTCATTTTATCTGTGAACACATTGACTTCGCTCAAGTTTCAAACCTTCGATACATTCAGGACTACGAAAACGAGATACAAACAATTTTTTGAATTCAGGTCAAGTGTCCGGCAACTGATATGATTATGAAAGCTGTAGATCTCAGTCATGAGGTAGACCTATCAAACAATTACAGATATTTCGAAGTAATTGCAAATTTGAAGTACGAAAAAGAGTCCGTATCGTTTGTTGATCTTCATGAAAAAACTTATTTGGTTGTTCATTCGCTTTACCACCAAGCGGCTAATTGAGTCATTCATAGTGACCTGTAAAGTTGTTCAGTCATAGTCGATTGAGACGAATACCAACGACTCAACCGTTTGAGCTGAAATTTCTTTTATAAATACAACTTATTGGTATATGCATCCACAAAAAATTCAGCTCGATCGGTCACGCCATTCTTGAAATACAGAGTTTCGAAAAACTCAATTAGAGAGGGTTTTCATTTTTAGGGCTTTTCGTAAAAAATTCATAAAAAGTCGGCGGTTCCATATTTTCTTAAACGGCTTGTATCAAATTCCATTAAACTGTTGCCTCTACAACATATCTTAAATTTAGCAAAATCGGAGGACCTCGATTGAGTACGGTCGGTCGTGGTTTACATGGACCGGCTGTTAAAGCATTATTGACTACCTACACGTTGATGGGTAAAATAGGCAAAAATCCTGTAGTCCTCATCAAGGGCAGTCAGCGAACCCACGACCAGATGAAACTTTAGATCTCATGAAATATGAATGTGCTCCGACTGTAATTTGTGCCGACTATCGGGGTGCGCCAAGAAACGTATTTCTGCGTAGTTTCAGCCAGCAAGGCCTAGAAGAGCCCGAGATGCAAAGTATCGGACACTTCTGAGCGGCACTTAATAGCTTTAGGTGTTTGTTAGAAAAGAATGTGTGTGTTTGGACTTTGAAAATGAAGAATTGAAACGCAGAACATTGTTGAGTTATTTTGTCGAACGATGGTGATCCCATTTGGGGAAAATGGCGTTTTTGATGAAGAAGAAATTGTTGTTTGTTGAAATGTCTGGTTGGAGTTGAGCGATCGAAGTTCAGTTATCAATATGAAGTAGTTATTTCATTGAGGTGATGGTGATTTGATAAAAATAGGAAGAAAAAGTCTGGATGAAAGATAGTTTTGAGAAGAGGAGATTGTCATTGTTTGATGAAATTCGATGTTATAGTTGGTGTCGATGAAAAATCTGAAATGAAAAATTTGGAATGGAAGAATGAGAATTGTACATTGGAATGAGAAAGAAACGTTCTTTTGAAAGCAAAGACAAACGAATAGTTTGCGAAGATTTCTGAATGTGAAAATGAAATGAAAATGTGGAAAAGTTGAAATTGATTGTGCAGAGTCAAGGAAATGAACGGTCGCTCGGTTGAGTTGTGGCAAAAACAAAGGAGAGGCTGGGTTGAATTGCATCGATGTTCATTCCCACTCCAAAGCTTTTGTTCCGTTCCAGCACCATTACGTTTGAGTTCAACTAACATTCATCCGAATGCCAAATGGATACAGAATGGTTCCGCTGTCGATGGAGGAAATGGACAACTCCCTAACCCACACGGTTTGTATGTTGATGATGATCAAACTGTCTATTTGGCTGATACATCTAGTCATCGTATTGTGGAATGTGGTGGGACGAACAGGCAAGTGGTTGCTGATGAAAATGGAGAAAGAAGTGGTGCTCATCAATTGTCTTTACCAAGAGATGTGATTGTCGACAAAGCGAGAGAGGGTCTCATCATCTACGATTGGAATAATAGGAGAGTAGTTCGATAGCCTCGTCGAAATGGGACAAGTGGAGAAACTATCATCTCAAACTCATTTTTTATACAATAAAATACCATATTCAGAATCAGGATCAAAAACTGAGTCGAATGATGTGTATATCGAAATTTTTAGTTTATTTTCAGTTTTGGATGAAAACTGCAGTAATTTTTCAGTAATTTTTTTGAAAATTCGAAAAAAGTGAAAGTTGTCGGATAGGATGAAAGAATACATCATTCGACTCAGCTTTTGATCCTGATTCTGAATATGGTATTTTTATTGCACAAAAATGAGTTCTGGTGGAGAAAAATGAGAGTTACGGGCAAAATTTCGACTTTTTCGCCTGTGATTTAGAAAAAATGATTTTTCTCAGCAACCAAAAGGAATTTTAAAAAATTGTGCGTGTACCTTACCAGAACCAGTAGTGACAGTAGCAGTGAAAAAAAAGTCAAAAATTACACAAGAAAAGCGCAATAACATGAGGATATTCTCTTTATCACCGTATTGTATACAAAGTGTATTATCAATTTGCTGACTCTTTTTGATTTCTTCTTTTCTCTACCTTTTCGTTGAGATGATATATTGAAATAATATATAATATACTACGAAGAATGTATCCCACACGAAGAGATGCCACGATTTAAAAAATTTAAATCAAAGCTACAACTTCTAGAGAAATTAGAATGCCCAAAATTGTTGACTGGATGAGATGTTCGAATTCGAAACAGATATTTGAAATTCTCTCGTAATAGTACATGTCTCTGGGATCTCATCTACCGTATTTGCAAATATCGAGGACACGAAGCTATTGCTGAGCAGTGATTAAGTATACGAAAATGTATTTATCAGAAGCAGACTGACTTGTTGCGCAAAACGAGTATTTGCGATATTTGAATTTAATCGTTGATAAAACGCCAAATATCTCGGTAAAGCAAATGATTGCAATCTGTCTTCGTTATGTGATAACGGCTCTATTAAAGAAGCGGTATTTGCATTACAGCGTATCGAAGATGAAAGTGGAGAACGTATAACTCGATACTTCGAAGGTATAACTGAAGTTAACATGTTTCTTATTAAAGGATATTGTTCTTCTATTTATTAAGGTATATTTCGAATTCGGGAAAAGTTTTTGAACCAAATCGAAGCAAATACAAATCAAAAGTTTATAGTAACAGTCATATGTATGATGGTGCCTCAGCAATGTGATTTCAGGCTCAAGAACAAGCTCAGAGTCGAATATCAGCATGGGTATTTTTCGATTATTGTATCTGTTAAATTTGTGTGTCAAAGATACCGTGGAAAATTCATAAATGTTCGAGTTGTATGATACAATCAAACAAGCACTTTTTACGCAATACTCCAACGTGGTTGCAGACATTATTCACCAGTCAACAAGCATTTATGTTTAGTGGAAAAACATGATCGTAGTTTTTACTTGTTATTTTTGCAATATTATTTATTTTTCTATTGACTGCATAATAGCAAGTAGTCGATTTTGTATACCTTTAGTTTCTAATTTAAAAAATGTTTTCTGACTTGTGAATTCGGCCGTCACTATATTTCAGAAAAACTAATGCTTGTTCAGTTGTATCATATAAATCGTATACTAGTGAGTACAGCAAATAAATATCCCATGTTTGATTAGTTGTCGATCGGGCTACCTGTTCACTCTGTACAGCTCAACTGTTATGAGGAACTGGTTATTTATATCTTGTATTTCATCAAAAAATTTTTACATATTCGAAAATAACAGTTTCTCAAAACAGCAACAATCATCTATGGATTTAATTGCAAGTTCACAGAATTATCGTCAATTTATACCATTCTGATTTTATCTCCGTCATTTGATATTGTGTTCATTAGACGTGCCGATTCTGTCGTAGCTCGTGCGCTTGGAGAAAATTGTTATATCACTTCTATTTTTAGTTGCACTGCTGTAAAATCAAATTTGTTCATTATATCTTGTATTGTGACTCTTGTTGCGTCTACTAAAGTAGAAAAGTAGTCAAAACACGCACTTCGCTTTTAAATTTGCCATAGAAGTTCATCGCAAAACGGAGAACTCACGAAATAAATGGATTTTTAAAAACAGTTTTTAGTTTTATTACATTTATATAACATGACCCATGTGATAACACGTATAAAAGCTTAAAACCTGAAGCTACCATTAACAGCAGAAGCTATTTGTTTTGTCCTTGAAGATGTCAATACAAGTATTGTGGTATTCACCTAGGTCATGGGGAAGGACGAAATATATCACTGTTGCAAAACTTTAGATGAAGACTAACGAGGGAACCGCCCCAGGTGTCCGGCTCCGATTTCGTTCGTTCATACATCATTCGATAGAGGACCTCGAGTAGGCAAAAAGGCTAAAAGGATTTGGGCGGAGGGCCCTTTAAGACCCGGTTT